TAGCAAAAAAAACATTTTTGCGGAGAAAAATGTTTCATAATTAACCTTAATTTAAACTTTTCAATAATCTTATTTCTTCCTGAAATTCTTCTCGCTTGCGCGGCGTTTCTAATAACTTAATCTTTCCGTCAAACTTAGGGTGATAAACTATTCTTTTTAAGGCATCAAATCCAATTTTCCCATAACCAATATTTTCATGACGATCAATTTTGGCTCCTAATTCGTTTAAACTATCGTTAACATGAATAACTCATAATTTTTTCAAACCGATTTTTTCCTCAAACTCTTTAATTACCGCTTCCAGATTATTTTTGATGTCATAACCAGCCGTGTATAAGTGGCAAGTATCTCAGCAAACCCCGACTCGTTCTTTTCGTTCCACTCGATCTATTATATATTTCAATTGTTCGAAATTTATTCCTACTTCACTGCCACGGCCACACATGGTTTCTAGGGCAATACGGACTGTGGAACTTTTTTCCAGCACCAGGTTAATTCCTTTAACTACTTGGGTTAGTGCCTCCTCAGTTGGAGTATTAATCGCACTCCCGGGATGAAGGACAAGAGTTTTTAAGCCTATTTCTTCCATTCGAGCAACCTCCTTTTTTAGGAACTCAACTGACCAATGGAAAATTTCTTCCCGGGAGGTATTAGCCAAATTAACTACATAGGGCCCGTGGACGACTACGTTATCAATATCTATAACTTTCTCGTTCAAGGTCATTTTAAATTCATCGATTTTCAATTCTGCTAAGGGTCGCCGACGGCTATTTTGGGGTGCCCCTAAATAAATCATCAGTGCATTAGCATCATAACTCACTGCTTCTTTAACTGCTCCGGACAAGGAGTGGGGTGATTTAACAGGAACATGCCGTCCAATTATTAATTTATACTGATTATTATTTGTTTCACTTATGGTCATATATTATTATGATGTTTTTTGGTGGCTTCTTTTGTATATTTTTGCTCCTATTAAGCCGAATGTGAATGCTAAAAATATTATGACTATTCCTAAAATAATTTTGGTGGTGGATTTTGTTGTTGAAGATTATCATTATTAGGAAATTTCCAAGGCTGACAGTGGTAGCAATCCTTTTGTTTTAATACTTTGCCATTTTGGTCTTTGTGTTTGGAACAGCAATCATTTTCGTCTTTTTTTAACCAAATCAGCCCTTCTTTTTCTGTTTCTTTCCAAACACGCCAATAATTATCCAAATATTCCTGTTCTTTGTCTCGATAACAACTTTCGCACATTATTAATAATTCTGAAGGTTTACCGTGATATCAACTCACATTATAGCGAATGTCAATGTCAATATCTAATTCCTTTTGTTGAAAAATATTGCAATTTGTTTTTGACATAAATTATTTTTCCTCCTCCGCTCTTTTCTTATTCGGTCAAAAAATTACTAACAAAAGAGAAACTATTAAGAAAATTGAACCAGCCAAAATTCAGTTAAAATACTTATCCAAAAAGAACTTTTTCGGTTCGGCAGTCTCAACATTAATACAATCCAAGCGGTTAGTCAGCGGAGCCGAAAGTTGACCCATATCGCGGGTAGAACTAGTGGCCAGCAGAATGTAATCAGACAAATTAATTTCTTCACTAAATAATTTAGTATTCTGATAAGGGTCGAAAATTGGCAATAAGGCTTTTTCTAGTGCCGAACCACTTTTGATTTTTTCAATATTTTTAAATCAGATAATTGGATACTCTTTTTTTTCAATCAGTTGCTTATTTTCTGTTTTATTACAAAATTCTTTAATTTTTTCTTCGATTCATTTTCCTTCTTTTCCCCCCGCCTCAGCAAAATCAATAAGGTTAATTTTGGGTTGTATTTCCTGATTGCCAGCCAATTCTTGGTTAAACTCTTCACCAGCAAAAAAAAGAACTCAGGAGTAATTTTTAATATTTTCCTTATCTTTTTCTAGTTTCTTCTGGCGAACTATTTTTTCTTTTTCTAAGGTTGTTAATAATTTGCTACTATTCATTCTCAGTTAATTCTTGCTTAATTTTCTTTCTTAATATTATTTTTTTCACAATGGCGATTAATAATAAAATCCAAATAATTCCCCACAGAACGAAGAGAAAATAATGCTTTCACTCAATACGCAAACTATCTTGATAAGGTAAAACATTCTCTTTTAGTCATTGTTGAGGATTGTTGATGGAAAATTCTTTTCCTTTTTCCTTGGAATAAATATACTCTTTTTCGATTTTATTTAATGCTCTTTCGGCTTGCCGCACCCCACCTTCGTGAATATGCTTTGGTAGTAATTTGATAATTTTCTCGGGAATAATTTCTTTATCCTCCTCGTAAATAGTCTTTATATTTTTCTTTATTTTGTCTTTTTTTAGTCCTAATATTTTTTTTTTATCTTCCTCATTACACCTTTCTATGCCACGCATTACTACTCCATTTTTTAGCAAAGGAACCAAATCTTGGGGAAAGTTAACAGTAGCAAAAAAAGTAATGTGGTCTAGTTCAATCTCCATTTGGTAATACTTGTCAAATAATTTTTTACTCTTATATTCTTTTTTATCTTCCCCTTCCTTATTTTGATAGAGGTCAAATAATTTTATCAAATCCCTTTGAATTTGTTCATCCTCAATTTTTTCTAACTCATCCAAGAGAATAATCGGATTTTTGCAACCGCTTTGTTTAATCGCTCAGGCGACTAAACTAGGTTTATTTTCATCACCCAAAATTGAGTAATCATTAAATTTTTTTATGCCAGCGCAAGGGATTATTTGCAGTTTTCCTCTTCCCATTGCTTGGTTAAGAGTTTGGACAAAAGTAGTTTTTCCAGTTCCCGGTTCTCCAGAATAACAAATTATTTCTTTTGTGGGGCAAAAATTGCCTCCCGTTTCTACATATAATTCTACATAGTCCTTAAATTTTTTTTTTTCTTTGGTAAAGCCAATGTGCGATTCAAACTGCTTTTCGGCCTTCTCAGGAGAACTATTCACTTTGGGACTTTCACCCAAAATCCTTTTAATTTCTGTTTTTTCTTGCTCTTTGTTATTCATATTAATTTACTTGCTATTATTTAATTTATATAGAATTTGGTTCAGAAAATCAGTAGACCAAGCAACGTTAAAAACATAATCACCGCTAACGGTCAAGTTTTTTTAATAAATTGCTTGTAGGTAGTTTTGCCCTTCTCTAAACTGGCTATTAATATTCCATTGAAAGGAGAAAAGGCCATCCCAAAAATTGTTGCTGTTCAAGAAAAAATAGAAGCATAAACCAGGGTAGATTCAGAAACGGCCAACAAGGTAGGAGCCAAAGCCCCCACCAAGGCTGCACTTATTCCGGTACTAGCCACGAAAAAGTTGGCTAAGAGGGAAATGCCAAAAATGGAGAATAAAATCTTATATTTAAAAAAAGGAGAAATGGTTTTCGGCAAAAGTTTGGGGGCTAAACTTTTTGAAATACCTGATTTGGCAATTATGACAGCTGGAACATCACTTAAAATATAAATCAACACTAAGGGAACGGCATTTTGAACCGCGGTTGTTAGACTTCCAATAATGCTTTGGCGAGCCAGTAAACAAATAATTATTGCCCCGATAATAAGTCAACAATCGAGTGCCATTCCTCCTCATTCGCCAAATGTTCCTCAATATTTTTCTTTGCTTTCTTTGGACTTAAACATTTCTGTTTTTCCTATTTTTCCTACTCCTTCATGCTTTTCTTTTTCTTCCTCTATTTCGCACTCACTGCTTATCTGATTAGGAACTTTCTCTAGCAATTTACTCTCATTTATCTTACCAGCAATTCAAGGAACTTGGGCAAGTATACTGCCCAGCAAGAAAAAACCAGCCACAGCCAATATTATTTTTCGGGTTCGATTAAATGGGGGCGGAGTTTCTTCTTCGATTAATTCATTTTTCTTACTGAGTGGCTTTTGTTTATTTCTGCTGCAATATCAAATATTAAAAAGAATGACAATTGAGACAAAAAGGGCAAAAGAGACTAAGCGAAAACCAATTCCGGCTCAGCCATTATAACTAAAACTATCCTTAGCATTGCTAAAGGTTCTATTGAATCATTTTTCCGTTCTTTGTGAAGAGACTAAACCTAATAAACCAGCAATTGAACCACCATAAAGACAAAGGATTGAGGAAAAAATATCAAATCCCAATGCCAACATGAGCGGAATAACCAAGGGATAAAAATGGACAAACTCATCAAATCAGGATAAATTAGAACTTAATAAAGCAACAATAATGGTAATTAAACCAATAGCAAAATATTTTCTTTTTTCTAATCATTTGCGCTTGGAAGCAAAAAAGGCTTGCAGAGTTTGACTTTGCAAAAGGGCATAGAC